AAAAAGTTATATGCAGATGCATTTTTCTTTATTAAAATTTATTAGAAACAAATTTTCAGTAATACTTAAAYACCTATTTTCTTTATTCCACCCTAATTTTACCTTTATAAATAATTTTTAATATTGATATTGGTTGACCCGTATAAATTTTAATATGACATTGACATAGTAGTCAATAAAAATACTATTATACTCCCTTAATACTAAAAATTTTCCCAACAACATTAGCTCAGAGATCACATTCGGGGATCTTATTGGGAGCTTTTTCTTTTTCCTTTTTAATTTTTTTAATGGTATCGTTGTTTTATTGTTGATGATAGGTGGTGTGTAGTTGTAAAGTGAAAGCCATCAAGATTTGCAGTTGCGTGCAGACATTTGTTTCGGGAGAGACCAGTAAAATCGTGTACCATTTAATGGGTTTCCCTTTAGAGATACTCAATTCAATTAGGTATAATTAAAAACTCAAATTTCAAAGAAATATAAAATTGAGTCCCAAATATCAAATGGGAGAAAATATTATATTTATTGACTTTTTTTTAGTAATGGGACTTCACACAGTTTAGTTAAAAATAGCAATTTATCGTCATATTTGATTTTATGAGAAAAAAAATTCATTAATGAGTTGACTTTTAGAATCATTGAAAATATAATAAAATGATGGAATGAAATTAAATTAAAAGAATTTCCTTTAAAAAATATATATATATAGTAAAAGAATTTCAATTTAGTCAAAACATCAGCCATCATAACTCTTCTGTGATATTTATGCCAATGAGTTTGCCTAACATAGTTAGTTGGTTTCCAATGAGTTTAACTAAACCAGAGTTGCCCTCTATATGTATATATATTATTACTATTATTATTTTTAATAAGCACTTTATTCAATGAACTACAGACCCGTCACAAGGATGAAAAATCTGATTCCACTTTTTTGACAAGTCAAGGAGGATAGATATCGTATTGATACTAAACGAGACCAAATCTGCAATTTAAATTTAAAAGATAAGGTCACACGAAGAAAACAATAATATAAGCGAAATACGTATTTTTAAATTAATAAATTTGGATGGTTTCAATTCAACTCAAATAAACTCTAAATAAAAAAAAGAACAAATAATTCTAACTCGAAATCATTTAACTATAACACCTGCACCAACTAAATTCATATGGATTCAACTCATTAGAATTTGAACCAAGTGATACCTCACGAACAGAGATATAATATGATAAACTTATCCAATCATCCCAATTTTATCTTAAAAAGTATCCTGCAAATCCATTCATACGACTAAATATATAGCTAACTGGACAAGACACTTGTTACTATTTTAAACCTCGACCACCCCACAATTTATTGAACTAAAAATATTCGTTCAAGATAACAAAACTAGTACCTGAGAACCTCCGTGACCATCGAACAAGCCAAAATAATGAACCGGAGAATCCTCTTCCTTGGACGAGCCGCCATCTTTCCATCCTCCTACAGGGGGCAGGAAGTGTGGAGCAATGGCAATGGCATCTTCCATTGCAGCTCTACGCCCCTTGTCCAAATCAAAACCCCACGAAATCTCCATCGAGCCACCGTCATTCCCACGAGTGGCAGTCCTTTCAGCTGCCTCACCGGAGTCGTTGGTCATAAGCACTTGAGTTTTGAAGGCAGCAGAAGAATCAGACATCATATAACTGAAACGACACAAAGTTAGAGAGATGAGTCAAGAGGATGCTGGGGAAACTGTGGAGAAGGGGTTATTGCAGCACCAACGCGTGGAAGGACGGATGAACATACATGGCAAGCTCCTCGACGTTGCATGGCCAGGAGTTGCAAAAACCGGAATCGAAAGCAATTCAATATTGAAGCTGTTCCAAAATTCCAGTCCTATTACGACACATCGTCCATAGGATTATGCATATTTTTCTCTGAATCAAAATCCCAGTTCCATGTGGCGTGGCTTCTGGTCATTTGGTAAAACCTGGCTCAATATTGGAAGACAGATATTTCGAGAGTAGTCACACTCCAACAAAAGCTGAAAAAGCAACTAAATACTCGGATGAATAGAAAAACACATTTACTGAATCAAAATGCTTAATTAACATAAAATGGCGAAAAGAAATATGTAACTATATTCTGTAAACCTATCCGAAAAGTTAGAGGTTTGAATCTCCACCGACCTCCATTATTGAACTAAGAAGAAACAAAAGGAACTACTACAGGTGTACAAGTAAGGAGCTTGCCTTTTGAGGGGCTGCCACCTTTATGTAAGGAAGGTACCAGCGCAGAGTACAAGTGGCGGAAGGTGTGCTTGTGTGAGGGTCGCTTTAGGTCTAATTTCTAAAGTTGGTCATGACAAGTCTCGTGGCGTTAAAAAGGAAAAAGGTAATAAATTTCCATGAAACGTCTGACAATATCAATATTCAACCCACCCCAAGAAATACAAATTATGCAGTTCTTCATCACGCTTAGCTGTCAAGGTCTTAATTGTTGGAGATATGATATAAGATCCAGAAAAGAAAGTGAAACGGAAAGAATGTGGACGGTTTAGATTTCACCACTTGAATATTCTTTCGACTTTTGTAAAAGAAAACAGCACAATCGTCTTCCTTGCCATATTTACTATTCATAGGCAAAAAATCAATGGGCTCTGTATTCGTACAGAATGAAATCTACTCTTATTCCAATGTTTCTTACTTCAATGATGCTCTAAATCCAATATCCATTCAAGCCTAAATGTTCATACCAGAGCACAAAGGAGAGTGTCTGAACAACAAACAATTAATCCAAAATTGATTGGCAGAAAAATGAACCTAACCGCAGTTTTGCTATAGAAGGATAGCTGGAGCAGGGCTGCAAAAAGTTTCCATTTCTCCCCTGCTGTTGTTGAATGGGTGAGGGTTGTGGCTGCTGCAACTGGGTCACAGCTTCGTTTGTGTTTCAACCTGCCAAGCAATGGAATGACAAAAAAAAACCCAAAAAGAAAGAAAGGGAGAGAGGGGGGGGAACAATCAATTCCTTGATTGGAACCATATGAAGCTGATCACGATAGCACCAAACAGATATGTATTTATTACCTAAAAAGGTACAAAGAGTTGTCTACAAAATCGAGTTAGGATCAGCTGATTAATATATTTATTACAATATTATCTACTTGTTTACAGTTACAATGAATAAATATACTTAAAGAACTTTCTATAGCCTACTTTATATCAATAAAAACAACCACACTACAGACTTTCTAAGAAGAAGAAAAACTAATTAAAGGATGTAATTTTACAAGAAAAGCTCATGATGCAAGAAGATGGCTCCCTTCTTGATTCAAAGAGCTTGAATTTTTTCATTGTTGTCCTTACTTAACTCTGAACGACTGACTGGAGCATTTGGATGAAAAGCCGACTGTCTTGAGGGCTCTCCTATCAATTTTAAGGACAGGGGTGAAGGCTCTCCATGCTCTCTTTCGTGCTCTCGTAAAGTAAGCTGAGACATGCCAACAAGTTCATCAACATTGACCGGTTCCTTTGGTACAACTGGAATTGGTTTTAGGACCTCGTGATGACACGTTTCCATACCCTTTTCTTCTTCCATTGGGACTGTACCAGGTGCCCAAATTGAAAAAGGAACAGGCATATATGCCGGGATGAATCCTGGTATCATAGGTGGGAAACCAGAAATTTCCATCTTAGGTGCATCAAGTTCTTTTCCGTTTTCTTCAACTGTAGTTTCCATCATTTGGAACTCTGAGTTAAGTGAGAGATTTAGTGAAGGTTGTGAACTTGAGTTCTCTGTTTCTTTTGTCTGGGCAGCATGTAAAACTTCATCTTCTGGTACAGGCAGCGGATCAGTTGCCTGACAGACAGGAAAGTAAGAAACTCAAACTCTTATCAAGTAAAAAATTGTGCTATGCTAACAGATAGGCATGTTGAGATCCAATACCAGATGCATTTTGAATTAGTTCACGAGGGACACTAATCACTCTATTACAATATGCAAGATAAATCACATGACCATAGAAATGTGACAGCCAAACTGTTAATTAGCAAATGTAAGAGTTCAAGACAAACCATCTCCGGAACCATGTCAAAAAGGCTTGACCTTCGCTTTCTTCTTGTTGCATTACTCTGCCGAATGAAATACTTCTGGGCATGGCTTGCCACCTGAGTTGGGGTCCTCGTAATAACAAAATTCCGAGAAATCCCACGCCAGTCTCCCTTCCCCAGTTTCTGAAGACCAACTAAGAATAATCGATGCTCCTCCTCCGTCCATGGAACACCTGAAAACAAAATCTAAGGAATCAAACAAGGTGATATAATACCTGACCCAAATACTAGAACTCCAACGCGTTAAGAGGATCCGTCAACTGTTTCATAACTTTGCCAAACTGTATTCATATTGAACAATAAACCAATCTCTTTTGATCCAAGAATTGTAGAGTAAATAAGAAAATCATCTACGCATCAGGCCTTTGGGGAGTTCAACAAATGCTGATTCTTGGAAAAAAAGTAAAAAAAAAAATCAAGGGGGTTGTATGTTCCACAATAAAAGCTAAAACAGATATTTTACCAACCAAAACCATAACAGGCTACAACAATCAAACAAGTAGAATAATTATTTTCAAAACAATTAATAAATTATCCAATTCCAACTTTAGACTCTTACAGCCAAGCTAATTAAACAATGGCCCCAAACAAAACAATGCTAACAAAGTACATACTCTTCAACCACCTAGCCATGTTGAATACTAGATAGTAATTGCATGGCCCAGTCTCCACCCACTTCTTTCCTACAGAAGTCTAAAAGTGTCTGGTTCACCATATCCTGCTAAAATATTGCAAATATAAATGAAACTTGTAAATATATCATCAATGCAATATTTACCATATAAGGTACCCTAATGGAGTTTCGGTCCCCTCCTCTTAAACCTGTTAACTTAAAATGCAATTATTATCGAATGTCAAGCCAATAAAGGCATATTCCTCTCTTTAACCTTCCAAATGCAGTAACCACTGAAATTAAAATGTAAATTATGTCCGACCATCGAGAGAAGAGAAACAATCCCCATATGGAAAGGCCAGTAGATTACCACCTCTAAGTACATACTTAGAAAGCACTGATTCATAATCTTTTAGAGGCGATTAAGGAGGGGAAAAGATTAAAGAACAAAAAAAAAAAAATATCTACTCCATCCACATTATCCACCAGGAAACTCGTGACCTGGGACCTCATTCTTAACTGTTCAATCACAAATGTCAGAGAAAGCAGTTCAGGCCATGGAATTGAGAATATCAATAATATTAAGACACCAAATTCAGGTATAGGAATTCGCAACAAAACTAGAAAGAAAGACGAACCCGATCAAAGGGAAAGAAACGAAATATCCACCGGACAATTGTTAAATAAATTGAGGAAATGATATTTCGAAAAGAAACACAAATAACTGATGAAGACAAGAAAAGCACCCAAGGGCGTAGCATTTATCAGAAGACAGACTTGAAATCTGTCACAAACATACAGCATCAATCAATTAAAATTTAAAACACGGACACCACGAAATTTTATTGCCTTATCTAAATCACAGGGGAAATTAGGCACGAATTTCTCTTGGAAAAAATATATAAATATTTCAAGACCAAGACATAATGTTACAATTCTAAAGAGTTCATCGGTTACCTTTCTTCCTTTCACCACGGCGATTAGCAGAGCAGGATGCATGGGCCGGATCATCGGAAAGAAAACCATCAGTGTCGTGGACAGGGTCGGAGTTAGGGGAGTCGGGATTCGGCGAAGCGGCTGCGGAAGATGAACTGTGGTAATGTGCGGAGAGGTTGCCCATGCTGGCGCTTTTCTTGATGAAAGACCCATCGGTGAGCCTAACCCCAAAGAGCTTCACACCGCCGCCTCCGGCGCCGAGACTACCACTGCCGGTTCTGCCGCCGCGGGAGGGGCAGGTGCGGGAGTTGTGGCCATTGTTGCTGCAGTGAGAGCAACGCCGAGTCATTGCGATCCGTGACCCGGCGAGTCAGGCCACCGAGTTAGTGAAGAGAGCACAAATAAGAGAGGATGGCGGTATTGAAGATCGTGGGAAATGGGGAAGAAGGGAGGCAGAGGCTTTATGGGAGAGAGGATTTGTGTTAATATTTTTTTTAGGAAAAAATCAAACTTCTCTGTTCAATCGGGTGAGATTAGCGAAACGCGGGTGTTCGTTGGTAAGACTTTGCGATATGACCATTATACCCTTCTTCAGGATAACGTCCTCCTTTTCCTTTTCTAGTGTCTCTCCCTCTATGGCTCTATCTTTGTATTTTTATTATTTTAAATCTCAATCTCATCCAATTTATTTTTAGTGTTTACTTTGCTTCCCTCCCTCTTTTACCAACAATAAATAAATAAAATAAAACGTCAATTATCCATCATCACAATAATATATTTCAATTCTATATTTATATTGAAATGTTAGATATTTTTGTTGAATTAAAAATAATTTATATGGATACGCCAATATACTATAATTAGGCCTAAATACTTATTAATTAAGCTACTCTGATCAGGTGAAACTAAAAATTAGTTCGTGGATCATAGCTTGACCAAGTGATGGTAGTTATTTGGTGAGTCTTGATCGTGTCCTAGTAATAGGTAGGGTTAGAAGCTAATTGGACTAAGTGATTCATAGCATAAATGCTCGGAGACAATCACATAATTTAATGAAATTACTATATGTAGTGTTAACTTCTTATTTAATGATAACATCGTTGTAGTCGAATATGCACAAACTCAACACACATCTTAGAAAGTCACAACTGCAACTGAATTGTAATTGATGGAAAATGTGATAGTAGTAATAATTTATAAATAAAATGTGGATTATTCGTTTGTAATTTATTCTTCAATTGACGATGATTAATACAAAGTATTTAATTGATATAAAATAATTTGTTTAAAATAGGTTGAAAAATCTAGAAAGTAGTTCTTGCTCCATACAATATTGTAGATTCATTAGTTGGGATAATTTAAAGTTTATGGCAATGAAAAATTTTAACTTATCCATTTGGTATCTTCACCAACACTATAAATTTAGAATATAATTATAAGAATTTTAAAATATTATCTCACTAAACCAATCCTTTTGAATCATCTTTTTATCCATTAATATTATTTCTTTAAAAAGAAGTCCGGATATCATGGACTTATTGGAATCCTTATCCTACATAGTATTTTTTTTAGTATTATTCTACATGGTATAGAACTAAAAGAAGTGGGAGGGTAAAATAGAGAAAGTCAAATTAAGGTAATTGTCATTATTTTAAGTTATAAAAAATATATACTTTTTAAACAAAGTTTTAAAAACATTTTAATAAACTCATTAAAAAGATATTGTACTTGTACTCGATTAATTTTTAACGGTCGCAGAAAGATAATAAATTTTTTCAACATATTTTCATTCATTGATTTATTGTGAAAAGCATTATTAATTTATCCTCATCCGAAGAATTAGAGATAACTACACAACTAATCATTCAAATTATAAAATTGACTTAACTTCTAACCATTTACAATAATGTCTAAAAATTTGACCCATTATATAAATGTAATCCATAAGAAAATTACATATGGGTCATTGGCAATGCATATTCAATAAACAAAAATAGGCAACCTTCCCATATTTCCCGCTCCAAAATTCACCCTTCGCATCTCTTCATCTCCGATAAAGATAACTATTGTGTATTCACATACGGGTATACATTAAATTTTTGTTATTATATAAATACAATTACACGGGTATATTAAATTTCAGTATTAACTTTGATAAATATATATAAAATATACATTATTACATGACATTGTAGGTTATATATTACAAATTGATATGTTAAATTATATATGTATTTTCTTTGGTTGGATTTTTTATCGGATGATGGTGCACACATAATTTATGTGCTTGCGATTATTTTTAGTGATGTATATACAAGTATATATTAAATTACCAAGCTATAAAAATATATGTTTGTGGGCCGGAAATAATTATGATTATGAAGAAAAGAAAAAATAAGAGAAAGGGTGACAACGGAGTTTCTAGCGATAATTAGAATTGAGAAATCAATTGAATGTTTTGTCACACGAAAGAATAATTGAATGAAGAAAAATACAGAAATAAATTTAATGGGCCTACTAAATATTGGTTTTTGAAAATTTGAATATATCATATTAATACTGATAATCCAAATTTAGAAACTTTCAAATTTGAGATAAATAAAAAATTCAAATTTCAAATTCTAAATTTGTAAAAATTTAAAAACAAAGGTAATCTTTGAAATACGGTTCATATTTTGACTCATTTTTTCAAATACAACTCTAGCTATGAAAATCCACGTGTAAATCGCAGTGGAAGATGTTGGTCTTGGATGATGCAATTAAACGAGAAATTTATAATACTATTAACATTTATTAAAAATTTCATAATATTATTCTTATGCAAATTTGGTTACATTATCGTTTAAAAAAAATTGTCTTTAAGACAAAAAGAGCTACTTAAAAGTCAAAAGAACCAGAAAATGAAAAACAACAATATAAATTAAAAAATTGTTCGAGTAGGAAAAAAAGAAAAAGAAAAAAAGGACGTATTATCTTTTAAAATACAACAAATGTATAATAGATGACACTCTTTTCTTTTTTTTCTTTTTTTGAAAAAGATATATAATGGGAGATTTCAACTTTGAATCTCAGTCAAAGAAATAGGTATAGTAATCAATAAGTTAAATTCACATTAACATTTTCAATAACATTACTTTAAAATTCAATCTTTAATTTCATGTAAAATATTCACAAAGCTTTTTCTCTACCGCCTAAACTATTAAATAAAATATAATATTTCAAGTGGCCACGTGACTATAAAATTGTAAAATGTAAAAACAAAAAATGCATCATTATTTGTCTTTCCTTTTTGTTTTTCTTCCATTATTTGTCTTTCTACCACTACAAAAAATGCAATCTTACTAAAGCAATTATCACAATTTATTCACTTTTTTCAAAAGAAAAAAAAAAGACATCTTGATTTATTGTTCTTCGGTAGGATTTAAATTAAACCTTTGATTATATGATCACCAATCACGCTAACCCACTCCCCATTGATTCCTCCCAAGTTCCCACTCTAAACTAGAGAAATTAAAAACATTAATGTGTTCAAGAGAATAATGCAAATATATTGGTAACAAGAAGAGTTCTTACCAAAATTATAAATTATAAATGTTAATGTCGATGTCTCAATTTTGTAGAAATATAGATGTAAATATCAATAAATGTCGATGTTGATTGATATTTTTGTAAAAGTTGGAGAAATTTAAAAGTCACAAAAATTATTTAAATTAACAAATAAAAATTATTCAACTTCTAAATAAGTGAAAATGATTAATATTATATATATAGTGACATCTTATTGATATTTTCATATTTTGTCGATTTTATTGTAATCTGCTGGAAATATAAATTTACTCCTAATGTTGATAAAAATATCAACGTATTGACGATGAATATTTAATACCATGATTCTTACTACCTAAGAACATGATGTATAATTTGAAACTTTTTGTTTCCATGTTTTTTTTTTTACAAAGACTGTTTGTTGTTATTCAAATAGCATTTTAAGTGAAGTTTATTTTGTATAGCATGAATCCACATTGGATAAGTTATTACTTATGGAATATAAAAGTGAATATTTTTTTCCTATATAATTAGTATATATCTATATTATTACATCCAAATACGCTCAATTTAAAAATATTTTAATTTTTTTTAATGAATGGATTTGATAAGTTTTAAAATATTTATAATCAAATAAAAAAATAGGACAGATTGTATATGGAAGTATTTATATAAATAATGTTAGACTTTAAGATTTAGATTCAACTCTAACACACACCTCCCCATCAAATCGTACGAGTAGCAAAAGATGGAGTGGCACCAAACTTACCTCACACCCCATGCCTTTTCTAATATTTATAGAAGGAACTCTTTGGATGGACCAGCTTGATCGAATCAGGTCGGGTATAGTCTAGTCGGTGGTTCGACCCAATCGACTCCACCTAAACGATCCACGTGTCTTTTTTCTTTTTTTAATTTTTTTTGCCTCGCATCAGGAATAATTTTCCCATAATAAATCAAATAAAAATATATAAATCAAACTAGAATATAACATAATATAAACATGTTTATTTTGAATTACACTATAAATGTATCTCTAAAATATCATAAAGTCTTTCTATCTCTCAGTGTAATTATTGAGTGTGTGGAAGACTTTTCTACTATTTGAACATTTCAAATTTAAAAGACAATGCCTATAACTTGATTAGCTTCCTACCTTATCTTATTATTTTCAATGAAATTAAATTTAATATCCAACATCCAATTAATACTTTAAAAGAATGTTTTTTAACTATAAATAATAAAATAATGTTTAATTTATATATCTCAAATTGTATCATTTCTTAGTTTTCTTCAATTTATTAAAGATATTTCATTTTCCTTCCAAATATAAATTTCATCGTTTGCTACAATCATAGACATTAATTGTAATTTATAATTTCAGTCAAAAGTACTATTTTTAACTCGTTGCTACAATCTTAGATACTAATTATAATTTATAGAGTTAAAAGTCGCATTTTTTATGACAAAAGTTAAAATTGCATATTAATTTATGATTTATATAAAATATATATATACAAAAGTAGTTTAGGTATTTAAATTCACCTAGTCTTTAGGTGTCCAATCCACATCATATATAGCCCCACATAAAGCATACATAAATCGTATGCATTAAATATAATGTCATATGTACTTGTTTCCTATATTTTGTAATTAATGTTCCACTATACCTTATTTATTTGCAATAATAGTTTGGAAAAAGTGTTATTCTTCATTGTGATTAATGACTATGGTATCCGATGAATTCCAGATATATTATAGCTATGGAAACAATTTTATTTTATTTTTTAAAATTTATTTTACTGTACATTCACATATAATCATTACAATAAATAGATTATGTTATTTGTAAATATTTCTCAGCAAAATATAAGGAATGTTTCTTTTTTTTAATTTCCAATTTGATTATTTTAATTTCTCAATTTCTCATATTAAAAGTTTAAATTTAGTGATTTCAAAATTTTGTTAATATATCCTTAAAATTATTGACAAGTTATATATATATAGATATAAATATGTGAGCGTAGCATTATGGAAAAATAAATTTCGTTGATGAGAGAATTAGTTTCATGTGTCAAATAATATATAAGTAGTATATCGACATTTATAAATAGGCAAAACGAACATAATTCAATGATAATTAACACATATCTCCACATTATTTGGTATTTACAGTATATTTTGGAATTCAAAAATAAAAATAAACGTGAATCTGATATTCATTTTATTTATAAAAAAAAAAAAGCATAGGACAAGGATCATTTGGTATTTACAATGTATTTTGGAATTCAGAAAATTTTATTTATAAAAAAAAAGAAAGGAAAAAAAGCATAGGACAAGGGCAGGGGTGAGAAAAAGAATATTATCCTGCGGGAAGAATAAAGTAAATTGATTGGTACGGACACGTGAAAAGCGGGACACGAAGTTACGAGTTTCCGTCTGGCTTCCACGTGGCAGCGCATGCTTCTACAGTTATTTTATTACGACGACTTTTTTTCTTTTCCGTATTAAATAATATCTACGGTATGATCCAGTCAGGTCTCGACTCTCAAACCAAACCCTACTTTTTATCTTTTCCACCGAGTAACGCAAAATAATAATAATTATTATAATTATATAATTTTTAACCACAAAAAGAAAAAGAAAGAAAATAAAAGTTATCTAATGTTGAAACTTGAAACTTCCAGGAAGCTAGAGTGTGTACAGGCTATTACTTGTCAACGACGTGAACGGGATTTCTTTCTTCTCAATTCTCATTATTCTCTTTGATGTACCGTATCAGGTTTTTTTTTTTCAATAATATTTATTTTACTCTATAAATTTTTAAAAATTAAAAGTTTAAATATTCTTTTATTTTCCATAAATATGTTATTTTCATTGATTTTGATCTCTAAACTATCAAAATATCTATTACTCTCAACTTTATTCGTTTTAGTTATTTTAATTTCAAAACTTATGTTTTGATCAATGTAATATTCAAAAGTGACAATTATGGTCCCTTCATTTTCATTATCATCTCACTTATTTAGATTATAATTTTAGCATGACATTTCGCTCACGAATATTCTTATAATTTAGATATAATTTTGTATTAAAGAGTTTATACTTGATATAAATTTTGTGTAAAAAATTTGCAAATAAATACTAAATTGGTTGATTTTAAAAGTACAAATATCAAATCGGACATAGAAGTTTAAATTACATGAACCAAAATGAATATTTTAAAAATACATAAACCAAAATGAACTAAATTCAAAAAGTACATGGACCAAAATAGTATTTAAACTAAAATTAAATAATCATTATGATTTTTACCGTTCTTTTACTTTTAATTATTTAACAAATAGGTAGTATTTGAATATAAATTAATGTGTGCAGCCACAGTATTTGAATATAAATTAATGTGTTGAAGCCATATAAATTTTTCTTCAAAAAAATTGTATAGATTGGTGGACATAAGTATTAAGATATTAAATAACAAAATAATCAAATTTTTTTAGTACAATATGTGAGGTGGGGATCGAACTTACAACCTTTTGGTTGAAGATATATGTGAATTACCATTAAAACTATGTTTATTTTGACAATCATAATAATAAACATCACAGCTTTTTTAAAGTTCTCGAGTTTCGAAAAGTTATTTTCTACTGAAAAAGAGTAGAAAGATCAAAACTAAAATATTTTAAGATTTAATTAAAAACCTAAAGAAGCTGAAATTTCACCGACAAATATAAAACTGCACTATACTGTAATATATTTATTGAAAGAGAATCTAATACCAACAAAAAAAGATTTAAGATTATTCTAAAATTGAAAGATGGAGTCTACGAATAGAAGAAAAATCAAAGGTGGGCGAAGGAAATAATGTCAAAAAAAAAAAAAAAGGTGGGCGAAGGAATATATAATTTTTAAATGCAAATTAAATAATAGAAAAATACCCATTATAAATGGACCTTTATAAATGCAATTTCCAATGAATGATAAAGAAACGTTACTCGCGTGTGTATACGCATGCGCTTATAGTTGGGAATGTCCACTTAAATTGACCAAACTTTTATTACATTTCTGGCCCAAGCATTGAATTCTGATTGGTTTCATCAAATTTGAAATTTCCCTTTTGTTTTCAACATATAAAAGTAGATTTTTCAAGAATATGGAGCGAGAATAAAGATGAGGTAATAATGACACGGGATTTGTTAAATAAATATAAAGAATATCATTCTCCTCAAAGTAAGTTGACACATGCTCGAATAGTACGAATTCCTAATCTTAATTTAGTGTTTTTTTACTACAATACGTGGGGTTGGAGATTCGAACTCATGATCTTTTGAGAGATAGGTGCCTTAACCACTTGAACTATATTCAGTTTGACCTTGGTTTAATATCTTTAATTAGATAACATTTCAATATTTAAGATATAAAAAGTATATAGTTAAAATTCAACCTGAAAAGTCACTCTGACTCTCAACTGGTTGAGACATATATCTTCAACAGAAAAGTTGAAGGTTCGAATCACCTTAACTAAAAAAAGGAAATAAATGACTAAATTAAAAGTCTTTATTTCCCACAAAATAGGTAGGAGTTTGAACTTTTACGGACTAAATATATATTTTTGATCTCTTGACCTCAGCTATAAGAACCCACCTGCCTTCTCATCCCATCAAATAACTTTCAGGACAGAAGATGGTGGGAAGAACAAATGAATGACAAAAACTTATCTGTATATGTGATTTGAACCCAAAAATGGAAGGCAGAACTGGAGAAACATCGGCTGCTTCACCGTCACCGATAACATCGATAGGAAGGACTGTACATACAGCTCTCGGCATGCTTCACCAAGTCCTTCGGTTGAGGAAGGCGAGTTGCCAAACCTACGAGCATCGGTAAAACGTTGAAAACATTTGGTTAGTGATAGTAGAGAGAATGATCGAAGTTGAACAGAGTGGTGCTAACCAAGTTCATAAGATTTTGCAGCTACTTTTGCAGCAATATGTGCTGAAATCTTTCTGATGTTGGTAAATGGAGGGTATATGAGTCCCTTTTCATAGTTCTCTTGTGTGACCTGTGCAGCCAAAGCTTCCGCTGTCCAACAAAACAACGACATTAAAAACAGATAGATGACACCCTTTTTTGTAAACGAAAAGAGACGTGTAGGAGTCATTTGGTAACGTTCTTGTTTCTCGTCTCTGGTTTCTCATTTATAATTTTGGAAATACATGTATTTGATACCATTTTTATTCTCAAACTATTTTGTCATTGACAATTAAGCGTAGAAGATACTAGAGGTAACTCAAACTCTATCGGTACCTGATCAAGATTCAGGGGAGGCCAAATGATGGAAATGGAAAGCCAACCAATTTTAAGTGGCAAATTTATGTGGATGATATCATATACTTGGTAAGTTTATCGATCACATTGAAGCGTGTATCAAACTTAAGTTCTATAAGTCGTTTTTACACTTACAGGCTGCTAGGAGCATTTCGTCCTGAACGCGGATGGTACCAGACACGATCAATCCCAGACCAAATCCAGGAAAAATATAAGCATTATTTGCCTGAGTAAAAAAGGAAGACAGTGATAATGTGAGTCTCACACATCTCATGAATCTATTATACCAAGACAGATGAGGAAAAAAAGGAATGTGGGTTAAGGGGGGATAAAATATCAATCTATATATAAGACCTGTCCAGGTATAAAGACGTTTCCATTGTATTCAACAGGGTCAAATGGACTGCCACTGGCGAAAATGGCACGGCCCTGGAAGCGGAAAAAAGACCATATAAAACAAAGTCGAAAAAAAGCGTATCGAGTTTAACATTGACGAGACGACGACTAGGATACAGAATTGTGTAGTGTATTTAGTACCTCAGTCCATTGATAAGCCTCTTCAGCAGTGCATTCAGACTGCGAAGTGGGGTTTGAAAGAGCAAGAATTATTGGCTTCTGCAATTCAAAATGAAACTATAGTCAATATATTATATTCTCTGAGTCTAAACAAGATTCAAGTGGGTTGGTTTTGCAAATAAAATACCTTGTTAATGGCAGCCATGGCCTCCACAACGTCTTTCGTAAACGTCCTTCCCACGCCCGACGTCCCAATCAACACTGTTGGTTTGATATTCTGAAAAAAGACAGGAGGATAAAAACTGTGAAACCTTTGCCTTGTATGTGTACAGAAAATTTCAATGGAGATGGCAAGAAAGAGACCTTCACAGCATCAACAAGATCCTTAATCGGTTCGTGCTCGTGTGCCCAAGGTTTCTTGAACTGTTGGAGTGATTCCTTGCGAGAACTAACAATCAGACCCTGCATAACAAGAAGATCAACACTAATAGAAGAGAACAGATTCAATAGAATTTTATATATACTAACAAAAGGGGATAGTTCCTTTCATTTTCTTTGAACTACCTTTGAATCCACAAGCCAGATTCTCTTGCGAGCATCTTCCAAAGGCGTATTCGTCTGAAAAACGGATTAAGATCAGTTTTTGTCCCAACCAAATTCAATAAATCTATTCTTAGTTCTAAAAACTAGGGGAAATCATTCATCTGAACATTAACTTTATATGGCCATCACCTTTTTTGACATCTCTAAAGCAATGAGTTCAGCAATCCCTGTGCCAGCCTATAAGTACCAGAAGCTAGAAGTCACACAAGAAGAAAGTGGCAGCACACACATAGTTGACCAGAAAGAGAGTTGACATGTGGCTTTAGAAAGAGCAAAATAAAAAAAGACCAAGTTTTTCTAGGCTAAATTATAAAAAATACCCCTAAACTTTGTCATTTGTTTAAAAAATATCCTTATCCTTTGATAAGTTTCAATACTACCCTTGACCTTTCATAAAAGTTTAAAAAATATCATTTGAGCAAACATCCATCAATGAACGAGAAAGTTGACGCATAAATTAACGTGAAAACTTGTCTGGATTAGGTCTGAAAAGAGAAGAAATGTGGAAGAAGCTATCATTTTTATAAGGGAAAAAAGTCAAATTAGACCCAATTTTTTATGTAACCCCCCTTTTAAAACCGTAGTTTATTCCACATTTCCTCTCTTTTTGAACTTAATCCAGACAAGATTTGACGATGATCCAAATTTCGCCACGTCAACTTTTCGTTCAAAATATTAACAGATATTTGCTTATATGGTATTTTTTAAACTTTTATAAAATGTCAAAGGTAGTATTGAAACTTTTAAAAGAATAGGAGTATTTTTGAAACAAAGTAGGGTATTTTTTGTAATTTAGCCTTTTTTTTTTCCTTATAACATTTTAGGATGAACAACCTCCCCAGCCCCAAGAAATAGGAATTTATGGTCAGCCAATGTTCCACCAACAAACTTCAGAGCTGCAACAAGCCCTGCAAGGACCACAGATGCTGTCCCCTGTTGAGTAATAGTTTACTCATTAGACAACTACCAGTTTCGAAATATAAACTAAAACACTGGGCTCGGAATCGTTTAACAGTAACCTGAATATCGTCGTTAAAAACAAGGTGTGTCTTGCCATATTTTTCTAACAGATCGAAGGCATTGTGGTTTGCAAAGTCCTCAAACTGGCAATGTGGTAAGCCATTATCAGCGGCAGAGAACCAAAAATATTGATGTCCCATTATAGATATACCTGAACGAGGATTTTCTCTCCATAATTCTGTTTGACCGCAGTCATGAATTCATGGACAAGATCGGCGTATTCCTAAAGCAAGAAACAGAAAGGCAATAACTTCATTGCAATATAATAAGTCAATATGCTAGCTAATCAAATGCTACAAACCTGACCAGTAGCCCTCTTTTGCCTGAGCCCGATGTAGAACTCACTGTCCAACAACTTCTCATTGTTTGTACCAACATCAATGGTCACAGGCAAGCACTGTAACAATCCACATTTGTGATAAGATAACAAAAACATGTCATACATATTAGGTGAAATCACCTACACAAAGTTTTCCAAATTCAAAATTTATCAGTTAGATCAGATAGAATTAAGGGAACCATAACTTTAAAATGAAGGAATCTAGAATGCAGTGTTGATAGATAAATTTCCCAAGTGCAGAGGCATGGTAGACACTTACTGCAGAAGGACGAACGCCGCCAAGGGCGCTGTAGAGGGAAAGCTTTCCAACTGGAATCCCCATGCCCTGAATTAGTCCATCAAATGTAAGAAATTAGATTGTCTTCCTTTTTCTTTTTGCTGCTTCGAAAGTTTCGACCGATACTATCCCGAAAGAGATGTTCATAATCAATTTTTTGAGCAATTCAAAATCAGAAAGAAATGAAGATCCATTTTGTCATTTATAGGAATCGATTAGTAAGAGCTGAATCAGATCAACCCCTCTTTTTTTCTTAGTTAGAAGAGCAATTAACTATCTCAAATGCACTCAACATACATCCTTAAATTAAAAAAATATATACCTGACAGCCAAGATCACCAAGCCCCAAGATCCGCTCACCATCCGTGACAACAATGACTTGAATACCCATCTCGGGCCAGTTTCGCAAAACCTCTAAGATCTTCCCTCTGGACAAAATTTTTTAACTTTTTTAAGTTTCAACAAAAATGGTAAGAAAGTTTAGGGTGTAACTGTGTCTAAAGGTTATGACCAACCATACTTCTCTTTCAAACTAATGTAAAGACCCTGCGGTCGCCTGAAGATGCTTCCATATTTCTGGCATGCTTCCCCTACAGTTGGAGTATACACCACTGGAAGTAACTCCTCAACATGCTCAATGAGAAGCTTATAAAACAACTTTTCATTTCTTTCCTGCCAAAATTTGCAACTCAAATACATAAATAAATTTTGGAACTACTGTCATTGACAGCCATTTGAAAGTAAAAGATATTGAAAAGATCCTTTTGGCTAAATAAACACTGCATATGTGATACTTTCAAATTTTTCATTAAGAAAACAAGTGAGTAGTTTAATAGAGAAAAAATGACCGCTGCATCTAAAACTGTTAAGAAAATGTATAAATTATTGGGAACATTACAAAATTACATCTAACTTTGCCTTTTATGCCTTTTATTTCAAAAATACTGTATCCTTTCAAAAGTTTCAATACTTTTTTTAACCTTTCAGAAGGTTTCAAAAATACCCTTAGAACAAACATTCGTTATTATTTTGAACGAAAAATTGAAGTAGCAGAATTTGAAACGACATGACAATTAACATGAAAACTTGTCTAGATTAAGTCTGAAAGAGAAGAAATGTGGAAGAAGCTATCATTTTCAAAAGAGGATTAGAGCAAAATTGGATAGACAATGAACCAGTAAACTCTATTGACAATGGGAGAAGAGGATTTTTACGACAACATTGGGAAGTTAATTATCACATTGTTCTAGATTCGATCGCATCAACTTTCTGTTCAAAATATTAATGGATGGATATTTGTCAAATGATACTTCTGAAACGTTACAAGAGGTCAAGGGTATTATTGAAACTCTTGAAATAATAAAGTATACTTCTGAAACAAACAAAGGGCAGATTTAAGAGTAATTTAGCCCAAATTATTCAGGTATATATCTCAAATATGTGAGAGATACATTATTTGTTGTAGACAATGAAGCATCAAAGTGACAGATTAGTACAATCTAAGGCTAGAATGAAAAGCAGGTCATTGGTACCTGAAGATCCATCATGGCCATGTATCTCTGCAGAGGAACTTGATATTGGCGGATATTGTTTAACATCTTCTTTACCTGACATTTGGAAGGCAAATAATTACTAATAACTCTATACCGATTGAGAAACTCGGCGATAATCAACGGTTGGTGATCAAAGAGAACCTGAAGATTTTGAGAGATGACAGAAGGAGGAAGAAGACCACGCAAGTAGTGAGCATCTCTCTCTTTCTCTGTGAAGGCTAGGCCTTTATTGTGATGTGGATCACGCAGTAAATTACATCCACTGGAGAAAAGAGTGACAATTATGAGATTCAATCTAGTGATGGTAATGCGGGCTTCGGAATCCAACTCACGATCTTTAGTCGGAGATACGTGCATTAATCAGTTTAGCTACTCAAGTTGGTAGATTTGTCATTGAAATAACAGCAGCAAGTATAACACTTTCAGTTTCAGTGCCAATGAAATATGTTCATGATCGATTTGCATTGTCAGCTGGCATGGTTTCTCCCTTGAAACACAGCCACCGTTGGAAGAAAGTTTTTCTTTTCTATAAGTTATACTATTTTGTTTTTAGTTTTCTTTTTCTTTTAAATTAAACTTAAAAATACTAATTCTCATCTATTTGGTTTATTTTTAAAATTTTGAACTTAGAACTGATAACCATTTCATTTTTAGTTTTTTATTTTATAAAATTTAACTTAAACATACTCCTTCTCATCTATTTGTTTCTTTGTTTTGTTATTTTTTTAAGAATGTTTTCAAAATTTAAGCCATTTTGAGGACTAAAATAAGTAGTCCATGTCTGATAACTATTTCGTTTTTAATTTTCTATTTTTAAATTTTTTACTTTTGGTATGTTTTGTACCCTTTTCAAAAACACATTAGACTTCTTAGCGAAATTTCGGAAAAAAAAATTACAAATTTATTTTTCTTTTAACTTTCATAATTGGATTTGGATTTTGAATGAAAGGTAGATAATAAAACAAATAAATACAAATAGCGTTTATAAGCTTAATTTAATTTATAAAAACTTATTTTTTATTTTAATTTTCACTAAAAGTGGAATATGCTCTTAAGAAATGTGAAAAACATATCAAATAAATGATGAGGAAAAAATATAATTTTAAAAATAGAAAACAACTAATAAAATAGTTATCAAACATCTCCAACCCAAATTTGAATCTCCACTTCAAGAAAAATAATATATATATTTTAAAAATAAAATGTTAAAAGAAATCTAAAAATAAAATGAATAGAAAAGAAATCTTAGGACAGACCTACAATTATAATTATAACTTAAATATGATTTCTCACCTAGCAACAGTGACAGTCCAGGGAGTGACAAACTGGTCCTCCGTGGCCCTATCCTCGCCGTACACGTCATGAACCCCGCCACTGACGGCGGATACGAGGTCCGACGCAACCACCGAGTCCTTCAACGAGCTCCCCATCACAGCGCTGCGGCGCCTTTCAACTCGCCCTCCCTCCGATCTCACAGAACAAACCTTCAACAATTCCGAGTGCCTTCTCTGAGATACAGGACTACAAGAACTGGAAATGCCCCTCTTGTTCTGCTCAAACAAAACCCACAAAGATTCAATACGTTCCAAAACCAGAAACCCAAATGCCCAAATTGAGAACAATCTTCCTCCAAAGATTTTCACTATTCCACTGACCGATGTGAGAAATAGAAGAATGTAAAGTTTGTGGCTTTTCGAAAATAGGTATAATCTAAAGTTAGGTGGGCAATGAGTAGAATGTGTGTTTGTTACCAGAAAAATGGTTCGATCCAACGAAATCATGGCGAAAAAATCGTGGGAAATGAGAGTCTTCAGGGTTCTGTAAGATGAGAAACAGTTGGAGAAAAACAAGTGGGGAGGGATCGGGGAAATATGGCTCGCACGTGCACAGATGATGGACACGGAAGGATGCTGCTTCTTCATGGGGTCGATGCACCGTGCTTCATGATGATGCTGTTCTTCTTAGCACCCACAAATGGTCGGTTGGGATTCCAGCCTATTGAGTTTTTGAAAAAGTAATCGACTAATTAAGCTAGGTTCGGCTTGATTTTACTTTTGGATATTTTTTTATTCTAGCTTAGCTTCGTGGAAAAATTTGAGATTGTGGGGCCAACCAAGTTTTCGAACTCACAGTATCAAGATGCTGGTCACTTCAAGCCAATCGTCTCTAAAGGAAAGCGTTGAGACGCTGGCATGAAGTGGAAGAAAGTGTGCTCGTAGTGTTGAGACGTTGGTTGTTGTGTCTCAACGCCACCACCATAATCCATAAAGGAAATGTAGTGTGAAGACGAGTGCCTTATGCTACCATTCTACAGCGTTGTGACATTGTGACTATTTTTTACAAAAACTTCTTTTTCAACTGGTTAATTATATAAATTAAAAAGGAAGGGAGCAACGTAAGGTAGTAGAGAGAAGGAATCAAGACTGTAGAGCTTTGGCAATAACCCGTTCTAGTGAGGTTTTACGAAGGTTTTTGTTGTGAAATCTTAAGTAATCATTGTAACGGTACTTAGAAATTAAGTGGTCATTGTTGTGATATCGTGAAAGCTTTAAAAGAGCATAAGAAGAGTCCATTGTAATTTTCATATCGTAGTAGTGACAAATTTGAGACGAATTAGTATAAAACTATGATATTAAGTTTTTGTATCACAAAGCTATGATCATACTCCATATTAGAAAATTTGGTTAAGTCCAAATTGGATTGTTCTATTGAGTAGATGACTCGTTTACCGAACAAAAAATGCTTATTGTCCTTCTAAAATTTAATCGTTGGATTTTCTTCCTCACGATGATTGAATTAAAAAAAACACACACACACACACATTTTATTTGGCTTTGATGATCGTGTGATCTTTAAAGCCAAATTAATGTTATTATCACAGGAGAAATTTTTATATAAATCACATACAAACATAATGACGTGATCATATGATTGTTTATCAAAATTGGCAACACAATAAAATAGTGTAAGAATAATACAAGCCTCGACTAAGTAGGTAAGAATATCACTAAAGTAAAGTAGAATCCAAATTGAGTAGGGGAAAACACTAGGTATTAGTGTCAAATCACCGAATACATTAAAAACTAAAATATATGTTTACCTAAGTTGAGAAATGCGATAATATAAACATAGTTTAGTGGTTGAGATATATCTAATTAATTCAAAACATATCCACTATATATTTATTATATAATATTTAAAAGACAAAAGTTGGAAAATGCCTATTTGGATTTTGAAGGGTTTAATATATAAACATTCAAAATTGATATAGGTATATGTATATGTTTATATATATATAAAACACGTTTGGACTCTGGACTGAATTATGAACAGACCTCTTTGGGCTTAGCCCAATGGGTTAGACCAGCACTATTATAATTGGGCTAATCTATTTAACCGAGCCCAATACGGTTGAAATGCGCCTAAATAACTAATCACGAGAGGATTTATTTCATTGGGGTTTCATTCTTTTTTTATTTTTTATTTTTTGGAATTTGACGAGGGTAAATGCAATTCTGAATTTTGATTTGATAGGTCATAATGATATTTTTTAGAGCATAATGAATATTGTCTAAATATATGGATCCTCCAGGAAAGGTCTATATTTGGAAAATGAAAAATGGAGTCAAATATTTAATTAGGCGAATTTTTTAACAAGATATTAGTAATCTATTTTTTAAAATTGTATGTTCAAATCTAACCCATATATTTTATTGTGAAGAAAAAAAACTTTAATGAAAGACGTACAATGATACAATGTAATAAAAATTAAAAAAAAAAATCAAATTGTGGTTAAAGGATGAGGCTAGAAATGTAATTTAACATTTTTAAAAGTTTAATTTCGTTGCCCATCAGTAGAGGAGAAAGGTCTCCTTCGAAGTCCCACAAAGCAGACTTCTCGTCACTTCCTCTCTTTTCTTTCTGCATAATTTCTTCGATTTTTGCTGATGGAGTATCGAAGTTTGCCGAAGGATTTAGATGATTATCCATTCGAATTCACTCTGGCTGAGGCAAGTTCTTCATGTTTTGCACGAGTTTATATCCTTCAATCAATGCCTCCGAGTCTACATTTCTCAGTTCGAGTCTATGAATATGCGCAAAAATTCATTGCAGTATTTTCTGATTTGAAATTACCGATTACGATGTTTTTCTCTTGCGGACTTCGATTTCATCATGTTTTCATTTTAGCAGATTGTGGAGATGGACAATATCTTGAAGGACACTGGAGATCAAACACTTGGTCAAGAGTTTTTCCAAGATGTCGCACTTCATTTCAGGTGAAGATCATATCGAGGGCGACTTTTTAAAGCCTTAATTGCTATTTCGAACCAGTATATGTTCAATCAATCATCATGTCTTTCTTTTGAAGCTGGCTCTTTCTTGCAGTTGCTCTCCATGGCGCGCTGGAAAATCTTCCGTCACTGCTGAACAGGTCTTCATTTTTTATTGTCCGCATTCTACTTGTTCATTGTTTTATTGATATTTGGTAATTATTATGTGCCCTAGGTGAAAGGCTGGTTTGAGAATCGGCAAAATGAATTGCGAAGTAGTAGTAAAAAAGCTCCGCCTCCACCTCCACCTCCATCTCCGCCTCCGCCTCCGCCACCGAAACTTTTGCTTTATCATTCGGATAGTAGTTTTTTAACTGACGCACCTTCATCTGAACCACCTGATAGTCTTCCCGAACTTAAAGGTAAATACAGATTTCCGCATTACTGCCCGACGAATCACAGAAATTCCTCTGCGTGATGTCAATGCTGCTAGCCATTGGCTGCGGCTACTGGGGGAATACGTTGTTTTACTTTGGCTCTACAATGGTTTTTTTGCCCTTTTTCTTGCATGGTACTAGGCTGGGACCGGGAGCGGCTGCACAGTGTTTGGTAATTCGTTCGTGCATAGAAAACGAATAGCCGAACAAGGATTTGGTAATTGATTCGTGCTTAGATTATCCAGTCTTTTATCAAGAGATTTAAATAAAAAATCCATAGGGTGATGAGACTTGAAACTCCCGAATCCTCGTTATCCTGACAGCATCTAAGGCTACGCTTAGCAGACAAGTAGGGGATCGCTGTAATTGTGGTTAGTGCTTCTTGCATGCATACCGAGCGCATCTAGAGTTCTGTATTTTGCTGATTATAGAATTGGCGGTCAACAACAAACTTAGAGCCCTGATGGTTTCAACTTTCAACTTGTGCTGGTTGGATGCCACAATCCTTTGTTTGACCCTTTTCTGAATGGTGCTGTCGAGGCTGAACAAGGAAGTCTAAGTTCAAATCATAACGTGCATTTTGGATTGAAAATTGCTGTGTCCTTGCATAATTTGAGTTTCAAACATCTTTGGTCAAATACTCTTAATTTTCTATTCTGCAGTAATTTATACTCTAATGCGTGTTGGCATACTTGAAACCCTTTCTGTCCATTTCTAAATCAAACTATTAACATATGTAATATCTTTACTTGAAATTTTATGCAGGGAAGGCCAGTGACCTTTCAGAATTGGCATTTGAAGCTTTTTCGTCAAGAGATAATGCATGGTGAGAGAAATATTTAGAGTAGTGAATACTAACTGTAATCCCAAAACTGTTACACGAACATGCTCTGTGATGGAATCGTGCTCGTAGCTATTTCTTGGGATTATAAGCTGTAATTGACATCTTGATGTAGCGCTTGGAGTTTAGCTACCCATAAAATCCTAGCATGATACAAGTGCCTTGAGTTTATTTTCAGTTCACACTTGGAAAAACCAGTAGAAGACAAATCTCCAAATAGATAATGATAACTTCCCGGAGATCCATTACTTGCAGTTATTATGGGCATTACACCCTTGAACCTTGATAATGATTTGCTGAAGACTGACATTCAGATCAGAACCCTTTAAGAAAGCTTCGGAAAGTCAGGAGTTAGGGTATTGTACTCCACAGAGTTTAGAAACGAAGTTGAAAAAGTAATTGAAAGTTGACCACAATGGTATTTACATGGTAATTTTGGTAAAAGTGAATAATCAGCTTTTATACTGTAAACATCAAACCAGATGTTTCATGGATTCTGTTAGGAGCTGTGCAGACTATAAAAGCTCTAGCATTATTTCCTGCTTACACTAACCCATCATGTTTATATTTATTTACATTGCAATGAAAATTTTCTTTCAGTATCATCGTAGCCATGGTGTCTACTACTTTCCTTGATATATGGTATATGGCATGGATTATGGGCCTATCATATATATCATTATCTTATGAGAAGATTTCATTAAATGCTTGTCTCTTTCAGTATCAACTTTATGGTTTCAGTAAGGCCATTGCTACTTGAAGAAGCACATTATTCTGGTTTTGGCAAGCACAGTTACTCGTGTCATGAACTTTTACTCAAGACTTCATGATTTTTGCTACTGAATTGAGGAATCTCACCTATGTTTCTTTTGATTCCTTAGGTATGACGTTGCTTCATTCCTTAGTTACAGAGTTAATTGCCATGGAGAACTGGTAAGATTTACGCACATCATAACTCATATACTTGTTTAGGAAGTTACTGTACATTGCAAAATGACACAGGAAACTTGATAATTTTCCACTCTCTTGTGTTTATTATCACAAAACCATAGAAAAAAAAGATTGGCAGATTTTTTGACGTCAAAGAGAAAAGCCTGATCTGCTGTTCGTATATTGAATTGGAACAAACTTCTCAGGATGCTCGAGTTCGATATGCTGGCTTTGGAAAGGATGAGGATGAGTGGGTGAATGTTGCAAGAGGAGTTCGTGAGCGGTCCATACCTCTAGAATCTTCAGAGTGTTACAGAGTAAAAGTTGGAGATCTTGTGTTATGTTACCGGGTAATTTCTATGTTCTAGTTTGCTCCTTCCAAAATAGTCTAATTCTCTGCAAAGTTTCCTACCAACTATAATGCTTATTAGAAAGGGGCAAAGTCTAATTCCCAGTTAGATAAATGCTCTCGGATCATGTTATCTTACCTTTGATGGTGTTACAGGAAGGACAAGATCATGCACTCTACTTCGATGCATATGTTGTGGAGATTCAAAGGAGGCTGCATGATATCGGGGGTTGCCGATGCATATTCGTGGTACGGTACGACCATGATAACCATGAGGTATGTACCATGACAGATCTGGGGCTAGAAGTATGGGAGCCACCCAATTTAAGAATTTTCTGAAACGAATACTCTAAATTCGAATGCTGCCTTCTTTGGTTAGGAAAAAGTGCATTTGGGGAGATTATGCTGCAGGCCTGCAGCGTACAACAACTCAGACCCCCTTGAACGTTCATGAAGAACCTAGATCTACAGTACATTTAGAAGGCTTCGTTGCTTTGTTTGCATATGCACGTTTCATGGCTCTGTTTCTCCTCCTAGTCATTGCCTCGTATGAGGAACTGAGAACAAACTGCAGTGAGTAACTAGTTATGTACCTGCCCTCAAAAGAGTCATTGCAACTGCTGCAAGTCTCAAATCACCAGGGATGGGAATCTCAATGTGAGGAACAAGATGACCCAGCTTCTTGAAGTGAATTTACGTGGTTCAAAACTGAAATTATTGAGTCAAAATGGTAAGCCCCAAAATTAGAATTTTTATTTCCTTCCAACTTCGACTTTTCTTTTTAAAATATCCTTATCATTTTGAACTTTCTTAAACGTTTTCAAAATACTCTCTAAGCAAATTTTGAACGAATGAGGGGAGAGAGAATTGAAACAAGATGATGAAAGCCTTAAAATTATCATTAACAATGGGGCGAATTTTTCTATATTTGCCATACTTCATAAGCATTCTAACAGATAGTATCTACTTAATTACATTTAATTCGACTAGATCATCAAGAGCTTTTCTATAGCCCCATGAATAGAACACTAAGGTCTTTGCGTGTGCCTCTTTTTTTGTGGTTAGGATAGACAGAAGCTCAGGAAACTGTTCTTCCATAACATACGGATGCAATATAAAGGTTCTTTGCCCATTTATCCTGCAGTAGGAATGATTAGATTTAGACGTTAAAAAAACAACACAGAACCATCAAAACGAACATCACGTCTTAACAGACTCGAAGTTCTGTACCTTGACATGGGTACTCGGAAAAGCGGATGTTCGGAGGGTCTCTTGTGTTTCATCAGCAGGTTTTCGCCTCGGCACACTGAGAACAAAGGCTGCTTGGTCACCAGTTGCTGCAGTTGCTGTAATTCGATACCCACAATCCCATCGACGATGAATACCTTCACTAGGGTATAAGAAATCCAATTCAACCACCTGAAATTTACGATAATAACCATCAATTCTGTCATCTGTAATCTTGTATGACTGGGGGTAGATGACTTTATTTTTTAATGATACAAAAAAAAATTACCTGATCAGAAAATCCCGCACCGCGCGACATAACGACACCCCACCTACTTCCTGAGGTGGCCATTGCCGTTACATAGAATCCCTCTCTCCATTTTTTGTTAATCCATTTGAAAGGAAAAGAATCACTGACTTTGTATGACTGTTGCAAGTACTGGGTACCTGGAGCCATTAAATTGAGATTCAATAAAGAAAAAAAATACAGTATTCTTCTTATAAATCTCAATCAAAATCTCCAAAACTAAAAGCAGTTTCAACACTGAAACTAACCCTTTGACATTACAACTAACGAGCTCCCAGTAATTACTCCGGCTACTGCTGTGATGTAATAGTTCTTTTCCCATTGCTCCATGATCCATTCCTTCAAACACAACCAAGTAATCAATAACTAACTTTAAACAAACCCAATATTCATTACATAATGTAATCTGGTAAAAAGAGTTACCTTGTGAAGAAAATGGGGTGAAAGTTCATAAACTTGTGATGTAAACCCGGTGCCGGCATCCATGATTAAGGCCCATAAATTTTGACATGAGGCTACACTACTTATAAACAAGCCATCCTCGTTCCCTTTCTCAATATGCTGAGCTAGCCTTGCGTCAGCTACATTATAATGATACCTACATTGAAAAATAAACTATAATTTCAAACAGTTCAATCTAAATTTGGGGATAGTTCATTTATTCCATCTCAATTTGGATAAAGCACATTCTATCAGTTCATGCATGAATACCTTTGCTTCATTGGCCGTCGAGCATTGTAAACACTGATCCATTGTGTTGCAGGCATGCCCATACGAACCTTCTTCTTTGGTTGTTCGTCGTCTTCTTCCTCCAAAGTCAATCTGCCTCGCTTATGCCCCACCTGACAAA